CAGAAATCTAGAATATATTAAATATATAAACACTATAAACAATATAGTTGAATAGGATTCCAATGGGTAACTGGAGTGGATAACTGTACATGTGGAAGTATTTCTACTTTGTAAAGGACCTGAATAAAATGAAGATATGAATAAAAATACACATTTTGACTACTTTTGTGTGCATATTCGAGGTTTTGGATTGTGATTGTTTGGAATCCAGAAATCTTTGGCGCATGCGCAATGATTTCACCGTGAGGCCGATTTCACGTGGGGCGACCCGCGGCTGCAATTCGAACGTTACGTCACGTTCGATTCCCTCTGATCGATGACGTCTGGAATGTGATGACGCACACATTGGGTTCCACGGGGCGTTCTGTGGCAGAGAACAAACTTTAACTTTGCTACAAGTCACATAACAGAAGACAACACAAAACCCAACCAACAGCGACAGTTATTATATGAGCATACTGAGAGGAGACAAACATGCCTTCGTCCCGGCTGACAGTGTCCCTTGAGGCGTATGAGAGTCTCCGTGCTGTGAATCAGAAATTAGAAGCACACCTGGACACGCTCATGAAGCACAATGAGGTGCTCTTCCAACAAAACGTGTCCTTCTACCAGCAGCTGAACCATGTCCAGAAGGAGAGGGACACCATCGCCCGGGAAATGGATGCAAAAGCCAAAGTCTGGGACGCGGAAAAGAAAAGTTTGCTCCGAGAGAAAGATGAGCTGGAAATAAAGGTCCTGAGCATGCTGGGAAGAAGTGAAGAGTGTGTGATGGGGCCGGTACAGGCCGTGCCTCAAAGAGAGGAAGACAGGAAGGAGGACAGTGAGGAAGACAGAGATGAAGACATAGAGGAAGACAGAGATGAAGACATAGAGGAAGACAAAAAGGAGGACTGTGAGGAAGACAAAGAGGAGTTCATTGAGGAAGACAGTGAGGAAGACAGTGAAGAAGACAAAGAGGATAGTGACGAAGACATAGAGGGAGACAGAAAGGAGGACAATGAGGAAGACAAAGAGGAGTTCAGTGAGGAAGACAGAGAGGACAATAAGGAAGACATAGAAGAAGACAGTGAGGACAGTGAGGAAGATACTGAGCAAGACAAGGAGGAAGACAGACAGGAAGACAGGCGAGAACCCGCAGTTGGCGAGAGGTTTGTGACGGTGAGAAACGTGCGGCTGAGGCCTCAACAAGACGTCGGCTCTGTCATTTATGACTTTTTTGAAGACGACTGCGTGAAGTTTGAGGATGAGGAGGAGCGCCCTCGTCACGCTGGAGGCAAGAAGAGGAAGTTAAAAAAGTTCTTCTCCTCCTGCTGGAAAAAATGCAAAAAGCTCTTCTCAAACTCGAGCCGGACAAAAAGGAACCCCGAAGAGGTCGACGGCGGCCCGCGCCACTATACATACGTGTGTGACGATGATTTTGGGTTTGTCTTCCCTGCCGGAGTGCAGTGGTGTGAGGAGTGATGAAGGTCAAAGTACTCAAGCAGCCTGCATACTACTTGTACTTAAAGGTGCAGTGTGTAACCTATTGACCTATATAACCTTAAGAAAGGTTATGCGGGGACACGGTCCTTCATGCCAAGTGGGTTTATGTTCCAAAAAGAAATGACAGGAGACCCACGGGATTAATTACATAACCCAAGTCCATTGTTTGCATGTACATAACAGGAAAGAGTGACAGACTTCTAGGGAAATTCCTCCACTGAGAATCCATTCTTTCAATTAGAGGCACACACGGGGGGCTAAATACACCGATCAGCAGTTCTCAGCAGTTTGAGCCACAGTAGCTCGTCTGTTGGATCGGACCACACGGGCCCACCCTGACCTTTAGATAGGTACTGACCTCTGCAGACCAGGAACACCCCACAAGAGGGCAGTTTTGGATCACAAATCCTCTAGGCACCTCGACACAGGAAGGGGGTCTCTTCTTGCATGGTCCTTCTCAAGGTTTCCTCCAAAACCTCCACATCTGGGAGATCTGGAGAGTTTTTCCTTGCTCGCTTGAGGAGAAGTGCCATTTCAATTCTAATGTAGGTGCAAATAATCACCTGAAGAGACACTGAATGTGTGTTAATGAGTGAAAGAGGCATGTAGTGTGCAGTCTATTCAGCATTTAAAAACATTCAAAACATACTTAAATAAAAACACCAAAAAATATATAACTAAAAGAATATTTCTGCTTCTTTTATTGGACTGCCCCAGACATCCAAAAGCTGTGGATTCACTTTGTAATGTTGAGGCACTCTCTTATGAATGTGACAGAATAACAGAGCCTCACTTTAATAAAACACCATCATAGACAAGAACGATAGGATGCAACAATGTAAGTTTATTTGTCAAGTTTACAGAGAATCAGAATCATTGGGTGGACTGCACACAGTCCCGCCTGAAGCACCAACATCTCCGGTATCCAATACGCTTCAGCCAGGCTGCAGGAAAACACTGCTCCATAGAGGTTTGTAAGAACTAATACATGTAAAAGAAACAGTTGTTATTGTAGCTGATGGTTAAAATGTTTTTACCTCAACGTGTGTCTGGTGTAAAATAAATCTAACAATGACACTGGGGGGAATCTTCCCCAACAAAAAGTTTACACTAAAGCCTTTTTTTAACCATATTTAATCAGTTCAATATCATTCATCTTCTGCAATTACATGGTATATACACAAATAACTTTGTTGCATCACACTGGCTTATTTTATTTTTTTTCTCAAAATTATCTTATTTTTCAAAATAGAGTTTTACTAATTCATAACTACAGAATACATAAAGCTGCATTTAACATAATTGCTGTAATTAATAACTTTTATACATGAGACAGAGACAAGAGCCAAAGCTCAGTACACATAAAGTATTAGAAATGACAGCAGGCTTTTAAGCCCAATAACTGCAGTGGTTTATCACGATACAGCTGAGAAGCTGTGGGAAAGTGTTTCTTATACAAGGTAGAACAAAAGAAAAACGGAGAAAAAAAACACCAACAAAATCTCAGGTTAGCAAACATGACAACGGCATGGTAGCTACACCTCCACAAAAGGCTGTTTTTGAGGCGTTAGTGCTTCGTCAACACCTTTTCGTACATCATAAATATTTTAACGGAGCGAAATGAACACACTTCTGGAAGCTGAGTTAATGGCTCGATGTTAGATGCACATTCTTAAGAAACCAGCTCAAGTTTAGCGCCAAAGCCAAACCAGCTATACAGTGCACGGACAGACAAGGCGATCCGTAAAACAAAAACTTCTTGTAAGACTTTACGCTCAAATGCTTGTAACTTACCACGGAGGTCAAATCATTCATAAATGTAAACAGAAGTAAATGATGAAGATTATTTAGGTCTGTCTCAGGCAAAACATACAGTAGGAGTGCTGGCAGAGAAACAACGAGGACTTGACAAAGTCAAAGTTTAAAGGATGTCTGAGACGAAGACCAAACTCAAGTACATGTGACGGAACAGCTAAATGCTTCAAAATAAGACTCAAAACATAGCAAAGAACCAGTGCTAACTGACAGCATTTTCAAGCTATGATAACCAATTAGTTCACTACCTTGTCATTATATATGTACACAGGGGAAAAAAACTTTATATCAAACCTTTATCACCAAGGAGAACCTTAAAACAAGCAGTAAATATGCTGTTATTTATCATTTATTTACAACACATAAGCTATTTTTGAACAGGTGTCTGCAAATAATGATGCGAGTTGTTAGTTTTTGGACCACACGGGGACTCGGTGTGGGTGGCGGTTTAAACATGCACTGTTTTCAGTGCTCCCTCTACGCCTTAAGAGTGAAATGGGACCACAACACTCAGCAGATAGAAAGACAGACCAGCTCACTACAGTCTCCACACCAGGAACCTTTGAATCTCTGATGTTATTTGTTAGTTTTGGAGGATGAGTTTCACCAATTATCTTACCCTGAAATGAATCTGAATTCACCATTTAGAGAAGTGTGAGGTTTCTAAACATTGTGTTGTTCCCTATGAGGGCACTCGTATTTACAATAAATCTGCTGTGACATTAAAACTGACAGACTGTAGGCCTCATGCTGCAGCAGTTTAAACTACAGCTGTAGATGAACAGAGTTTGGCCAGTGCAGATATAGCCCTGTAGAGTATGGATGTATGTGTATGCAGGTGGGTGCAATCCACCACCAAATCAGCTCAAATATTGCCAACTTGCATATAGTTGCTCCTGTATGTTGTGAAGAAATAAACCTGCTGCCATCACCTGGTTTTTCACAGAGCAACAGCTGCATAATGTGGCCAAACTCGCCTTTCTCTAGCCTGATCTGTCCTTCTGCCAGTGGTGGCTGTATTAGTAGCAGTGGGTGTAGCTGTTACAGCACCTATAAGCAATCCTCTTGCTAACCGTAATAAGCTGAAAAAAATGATTAGTAGTGTATATTGATGTGTATCTGCGAGCCTCTAGGTTCATGAGCACTGGCAGGCTGGACTGAGGTCTGAATCTAATCAAAGCATTAGCGGCATTATTGCTGTAGCTAGCTCAGTAGTGATTGCAGCGGCTATCCGTTTTCGCATTAACGGTACTACACTAGAATTAGCAAGCAATAGGACATGTTAGAGGCTACTACAAGCTATAACTGCCTTTGAGACATTACTCTTAAAAATGCTGAGCCTACTCAAAGCTAATGCATGCAGTGATCTGGGTTAGCGTGGTCCATGAGACAGCAGGCGTAGAGGGAGCACTGATTGATTCACTGGTGTCACATCAGTATGTCCAGGTCGTCAACGTGGTCGTCCTCCTCCGTCACTCGCAGCGACAGCACCTCCTCGTTCAGAAACAGTCCACTCAGACGCTCCTTGCGGGCCTGTCGCTGCTCTTTCAGCTGACGCTTCCGGAGGGCTTTCTGCTGAAGCTTGCGCTGCTTCGAACGTTTCTGAAAGACAGAGGAGAGACGGGTTACAGAGGATACCTGGATGAGGATCAAGGTGTTGAAAAACGCCACGATTAAAGTCATCAGTCCACTTTCATTTTGTCAGTCGAATCTGTTACATTGTACAGCCAGGCTGTGAACTTTAGAGTCTCAAAATGACCTCAAAACTAACTAATGGAAGCTGAGAAGAGTGACAGTCAACGGAGGGCAACGCAAATCTGTTAACTGGTTGTGTCTAAACCACTTTTGAACCTGACGGCGTTACAACCTGGTCTGCTGCAGCAGCCCGGCAGGAGCAATGCTCCAAACTATGAGCAGGATGCACACGCTTACCTTATCTGTGTGGAAATCTGATGTTTTCACGTCACACATGAAGAACAAAGTCATGAGGTGGGCTAAAACATGAGTCGTGTAGCTGTGTTTCCACCAGCCTTAGTGTTGACATAACTGGCTAACTGACACTGCACAGGTATTTAAAATCACTTTAAACAGTTTGTAGTAACATAATGCAACAAAGAAGTAACTAGAATGAATTAAAGTAAGAGGAAAATAAACTTCAAATGTTTTAAGATGAGGCTGCACAAATGCCTGTCCCCATTCTTTCCTGTGGTCCCAGTAATGGAAACAGCGTGCTATTTGTCCAGCACAATAACAACATAATGAGGAAAACAGATGTTGTCTTCCTTTTGACACACACACACACACACACACACACACACACACGTTCATGTTTCTTACTTTAGAGTCTCGTATACGTTCTGCAGCACTGGAAAGGTTGCCATCACTGTGAGCTCTGCTAATGTTGGCAACACTGCTCCCACTACAGGCTGACGCTGTACCACCTGGAACAAAAGGAAATACTGACGGTATTACAACCTGGAACACCGAGTCATTATTAAAACTGAGCCGACGCGCTCCTCTGCCGGTGCTACTGCTGCTTAACTGCGAGCCGACCGGGGGGCATCCTACCTGCTACGGAGTTGGAGGCTGTGGAGCCGGTGGAGGAGCTGGCGGAGCTGACCATGCTGGCGTTGCTGCTGCTGGCTCCGCTCACGCCGCCGGTGCTGGCGCTGCTGTGGCTGCTCCTCTTCCAGCCCTCTCTGGTGCTGCTGGCCCGCTGCCTGGGGCTGTGCTCTCTGATGTAGTTACGCACCTGATGACGACACACGGGTCAAAACATTTACTTTTCACATTCTTGGTTAGCTGATGTATTAGCAAGGAGTGATTCTCTTCAATCCACAACAACAATGAGAACAGCTGAAGCAGAAGGGCAAATAAATATGCTACCCATTCCACAAAAAGGGGGATAAATTGTGATTTTGGACATGTTATCATGAGTTAATTACCAAGTGGATCAGCTGACGCTATAAATCACAAAATGTACACATAGTGACTTTAAATAACCAAAATGCATTTATATTTTGTAAAAATATATTTTTTTATATTTTATAAAAATCTATAGATTGAGCGCGCAATTTATTGTTTAAGCCGCAGGGTTCATAAGCGGTGGTGAAAAAGAGTGGCCTGATAGTCCCGGAAATTACGGTAACTCTAAAAGCCGTTTGATGCTCATCGACCACTCTGACAGGTTGTGATGTAAGTGAGAGGTTGCGTGTGGAAGAAAAGTGGCCTTGTTAAGTGGATTAGAAGACTTGTATTGTTAAAGCGGCGTGTTTCAGTGTTTCAGTGTCACTACCCACCTGTTTGAGCTTCTCGTCGGTGAGACAGTTGAGCTCTATGATGAACTCGCTGTCGGTGGGGGAGATCTGAGCACAGGGGTCGATGATCTTGATGATGTCCAGCTGCTCCCTCAGGCCCATCTCTGTGCTGACCTTCCGACTCAGGTACTCGATGTACTCCACCTGGAAAAGGGGACGCAGACAATGCACGGTTCATGATGAAGTGCTCTAGTTTATTACAGTTATTTCGTAATAAACAGTCTCCAGTCAATCGACTACAGTTTACTACAATTTTCACCATAACATAATGGTCACAGCCCAGAAGTAACAATACACGTTAAGCAGAATTTACTTGTTTTACAGAAGATTCAGGAGTTAAAATACAATAAAACATTTCCAGGATTTTTGGTCATTTTAATTAAATTCCAGGTGTTTCTATGACTGGAAAACTAGTCTCTATATTTCCAGGTTTTCCAGGACGTGTGGGAACCCTGAGACCTGTAGCTTTGTTCCTTTTTTGTGTAAGGGGGTGTTTTAGACTGCCGGTGAAATGACTGTGCTCGGTTAATTAGAGTTAAGTTTGTCCCTTGAGCAAAATATTTCCCTAAGCTGAGGGGTTCTTTAGGAGCACTGCACAAAGCCTCTTAAGTGTTTACGGACTTTACAGTAATGACTCATAACACGGCACACGCTCAGTTCTGCCATGGCTGCTGTTCTCCTTGAAGAATATGGACACAGCTCATTCAAAGTAAACTGAACCCCCAACAAATACACCTAAGCAGACGATGTGGAGCTAACGAGAAACAAAAACTGGAGACTTTCAATAAAATGATACAGCTAAAAGGAACGAGGAACATTTTTGTCCTTTGTAGCAATGCATAAGGGAAAACTTAACTACGGGCAAACGCAGTTTTCCCTTACAGCATCCTAAAGAAATCCTTATGTCCTGATCAATGTAGGTCAGCTCAGGACATCCCGAACTACAATACAGCTAAATACTGATGGAGGAAAAGAGTTTTTACGATATATATATAATCAAATTAGTTATCTCACATTTCAATACAAATGATGGAACTCGTTGTGAATGAAGACTGAAACAAAGTCTAGAGAGATTCAGCATTCATATCCAGGTATACTGAAAGGAAAAAATCCCTAATAACATGTGAGCTAGTCACTACAATGCCATTATGCTGCTGACTCCAGTTTCTGAAAACAAAAACCATAAACTAGAAGCACTTTAGAGAGAGCGAGTGTCAAACAGAAATGTAGTTTACTTGTTCGTCGTTGGTCATGGCACTCCACGGTAACTCATCGAGGTTGCGGTGAGGGTGGGGTTTAGGCTTCCTCTTGGAAAACAGACAGGGTGAACTTGGCACGCTCGGGATGATGTCAGAGAGGACATCGCTGCCGCTGGCGATGTCACTTCCTGGCAACTGTGAGGACAGCAGACAGACAAAGAGAGAGAGAGAAGAAGAGCGGGAGGAGAAAGGACGACAGCATATTTAGAAATGGACAAACTGGAACTGTAATCACTGTAACATCCACATCCTCTGTGTTTGGTGCAAACAAACGAAGCAACTCATTACTCGTGACTTCCTAAAGTAACATAACTAGAGATGTCCCGATACTTGTGCTGTGGGTACCGATCCGATACCAGTATGTTATAAAAAAATATCATACTACGCCTGCATGACTGTGATATGATTATCATTGTGGTAAGGCCTGGCTCAGGTTAAACCCTTTGTAAAACATGAATAAATACAG